GGGGGGGGTCCTGAAGCCAAAAATACCCCTCTGGATCCGCCACTGAACTACTTCGGTCAATATTATCAAATCTAAAATCAAGTTTTGTGTTACCCTAAATGGAGCCTCACCAGTAGAACTCTTCAAACGAGAAGGTAAACATTCTATCATTATCATGTGACTCAACATTTTGTCGTACAAGTGTTCAACACTTGCATGGGTAAAGGTGCCTTTCTGGGACGATTTTTGTTTAGATTTACACACATGATCATGATGAATCGGTCTTATACGAGGAACAGTACAAGAGTTTCAACTCTCGAGGATAGACGTTCGACATTTTACCTGTAATTTTGGAATGCTGACTTTAACCGAAATCATTGTAATGGCAGTTGTAGTTGCATTATTTGGCTGTTACGTTGTTACGTCAATTATTTTATTGAAATATCCACAGATTTTACATAAGAAGAAGAATGTCAAATTTCGCCCAAGACATATCAGTCATAGAGGAGGTATGTAAACCTTTGATCGGCAAATATGTTACAATGTGTATACTTTTCAGATGTTGATGGTGACCTGATAACCGCTGATAACGGGTGTCCTGATAACAGGTGAAACATAGGTGCAGGTGGTGGGCACGTCTATCAATTTTGTTTTTGAATAAATAAAACTAGACCTTTCTAGTCTTATCTGTTCAAAAAAAAAATGATAGACGTGCCCAGGCCACCACCTATGGGTGAAAGGGCAATAAAATAAAATAAAACGTGAGGGAAAGCAGAATAAAGTCCTGATAATGGGTGAAAGTGCAAATTACTTTCATTTGACAGTATGCTACCCCAACTTTCCAGTTCGTCACTACTACCTTAGCTACAGGAATATTCCCTCTGGCTCTAGTGTGAAGCTACATTGTATACAATTCTACATGTTTCGGTACCTGGTATGTTCGGTCTACCTAAGAAAAGGATGTTTCGGTACATTTTAGAAAAGAAAAAAAAATGCTGAAAATTGTTATCATATGTGCCATATTAAAACCTGCCTCTGTATCCCCATCTTTTTAAGTATGATTTCCTCCAAACACCACTTCAACCGAAGGTGTCTCAGTAGCCGTGATCGCTAACGTTAACACACACAGTAATTTCTACTGTGTCCTATTAAGTGTGAGCTTCAGACCACTCACTCTACAAAAAAAATGGTTTTGATCCCCAGCAGTGGCAGAAAAAAAGAGTGATGTCTGATCGGGTTAGTTGTTATCCCTCTGATGGCATGGTAGGTTTTCCTCCACTACAAAAACCTAGCTGTACCAGCGTATCTGTCATATGTTTATCTGCATTAGTCAGAAGTACAGGTATTTAATACACATGTACAATGTATAATTAAATGATCAACAATTCTTGATGACCATGTTGATGGTAAAGACTATCACTGAAGTATATGTCGTTTCTCTAGAATGAATAAACCGGTTACTACATGTGATAATGAATAAACCGGTTACTACATGTGATAATGAATAAACCGGTTACTACATGTGATTATGAATAAACCAGTTACTATATGTGATAATGAATAAACCGGTTACTACATGTGATAATGAATAAACCGGTTACTACATGTGATAATGAATAAACC